AGACGCTTATTGCCATGGAAACAAGCGATTTTTTGCGATTTTGACTGATCTGTGGGGAGTTCTGACCGATTTACAAAAGTCAGGGGCGCCCCATTAGTTGGAATATCATTAATATTTGACGCGAGGTAAAGTCCTTCCAAGCGCGCGCTCATTCGAAGTGTCATGTTGGGGCTTTGTCAAAAGATTCATGAAAGATTTCTAGGGAAAATTCGAAAATTCCTGCCGCTCCAGTCCTTGTAGTATTCACGAAACGGTCCAATCCGCATTTGCCGTGAATGATTTAGCTGTCTTACAAGACTGTTGCGCTGATCTTGGGAGGAAAATCAACGCTAAGTATCGGAGAGTTACATTCAGTGAGCAGTTGCTAAGGGACACGAATAGCACGAACTACAGTTTGACTGTTTGAGTAGAAGTATTGGCGCCGCGATCTTTATTCTGAAGTGCAATAAGGTAAATTTAATGTGACATGTAAATTTTATTTCGTTTTAGATAGCATAACAATATTTATAAGCGAACAAGATGCGCGCCATTGATATGTAAAATTGTAACTTGAATACGCGTATCTTGATTTAGATTTAGCTATGGATTTTGATTTACACAACAAATTTGCACATTTGTAATTCTGCTGTTGAAGGACCATCAGAACTCAGAAGGCTATTAATATGGAGGATAACCTATATAAATGCATTAATGCAGTATACATAGAATATAAAGGTCAGGTTTTATAGCTGAATGTTAAGACTTTAATATTGATGTATGTTTATTTGAGTAATATGACACTGTAGTGATCACTACTCAAGTGATCAATGACTCAACAAGGCTATTAGGCAACAAAAATGAGTGTAGTACTATCATGAGATAGTTATTAAAACATAATACTAGCAATCCGTAATTTGATGAAATGAAACATCTTCCACAATTATCACATTTCTGCAAGCACTTCTCCTTTACTTTTCCCTAAGGAGCGAGTTGTGAGTGTCAGTCAGACTGATAGTTGCTATAATTATCTCCCATTTCATGAAGTTAATTTTTTGTTGAAGCTGCTTTCAGAGTGATGCAAATTGCGTTTCTGAGGTTTAAAAATATAAAAATTCCTGTGGGACAGACCCCCCTAGGTGCCTCGCGCATTCGCCGCTCGCAAAACTAGATTGTACATCCGAAAACTTTCAGTAACGTACGAAAAATCCTGGATCCGCCCCTGATCAAAAAGGGTGAAATATGATGTGATGACCTCGTGTTGTTGGCACGATGTACGGCCTATGAAAGTTATGTTGTATGTGATAAAACTGAGGGGAAAAGATACTGGAAAAACAACTTGTTATTTGTATAATTTTGAACCACAAAAATGGAGATGCATATATGTGTTAAAATTGTAACGATAAAATGTGCAGCATGGTAAGGTATATACTATGAGATATCTATCAAGATTTTTTGGGCATATCACTCGATTGAACTAATGTTGATGCCTTTCAGTGTAGATGAAAATTTCGATTGTAAATTTTATAAAGTACTCAGTTTAAACACGAGTAGGAGACTAGGAGTGTCTTATCAGAGTATAAAACGCGAGGCGCAGCCGAGCGTTTTATGTCTGATAAAACACGACAACGAGTGTTTTAAATAGCTTAAAATACGACTACAAAATTAAAATACGACTACAAAAGAATGCCGTATTCCCTGACCGCTTTTCGTTCAGTTTTGTTGCCCCCCTTCGGGCACTACTTTAAATTCACACGAATCTATACATTTTTATACGCTGACTACGAATTCACTTGTTGTCACTCGCACAAACCTGCAGTTTTTTTGTATTTTACGATCAAACATCAACAGTATTTATTAAAATTTCCGCCATTTTGTTCAAGAAACTTCATGTTATATACAATTATTGTACTAGTTCAAGTCTCTTAGCAGGGGGGTTGCACGCGGTATTACGCATTTTTATCATTCTTCTGAGGAAAATATACGTACAGAAATAAAAATATAGATATTTTTTCACAATATTAAAATGCAAAAGGTAATAATACATGTTTGTATATAATCAGGAACTAATCTACTATTCTTTATTG